CTCGTTTTTTATCCTGGCAGGCGTTTATAAGCATTGTTTGGGGAGAGGGCGGCAACCCGAGAATCATGTTCCCTGGAAGCTTTCCGGGAGCATGACTTGTTCGGCTCTCTTAAGAGGGTGGGCTCTGGGGGCTTACCGAGGGGCTCTTTTTGGCCTTGTCGGCAAGCCTATTGGAAATATGGTTGGGGCGATGGGCGGAAGCCGAAGGAATCATCTTCCCGGAAAGCTCTGGGAAATGCGTTTTACCGAGATCTCTTGGGAGCCCGCAGGGGGCTTCCCTGGGGGGCCCTTGGGGGCTTATTGGGGCTTCCGGGGGGCCTCTTGGGAGCCTCACGGGGCTTCTTGATGCTTCTTGGGAGCCTCTTGATGGCCTCCAGGCGCGTCCTAGGAGCCTCTCAGGCCGGAGACCTTGAAATGTCGCGCTCTTCGGGCCCTCTTGGGTCGCTCTTGGGGCTCTCTTGTGGCGCTCTCGAGGCTCTCTTGACTTATCTGGGGAGCCTCCTGGGCCGTCTCTGGTCTTTCCTGGGGAGCCTCTTCGGCCGTCTTGGAGCGATCTGAAGGGCCTCTGACGCCGTCTGGGACCGTGGGGAGGCGGAACATGCGAGAGCGCAAAAATGCCAGGCCCTTTGGAAGGGCCTCTGGAGGCGCTCTTGGAGCGTCTTGGTGGCGTCGTCGGCTGTCCTGAGGCCATCTTCGGCGTGTCCGGGGCCTCTTGGGGCTGTCTTGGCAATATTTAGGGCCCTCTCGGCGTGTCGTGGCGTGTTTGGGAGCGGGCCCGGGCAGTCCCGGGAGCCCTGGGGGCTGTTGAATGCTAGGTGTTGTCTTGGAGGCGGAGGCTGTTGAGTGCAGGGTGGCGCGTGCTACGCGGAAGGCGGGCGAGCGGCCGGGCGGGCGGCGGGCGGGCGGGCGGGTGGCGGGCGGGCGGGTCGGGATTTGAATGAATTCCCTAAGGGTGCAGCGGGAGCTTGTTGGAGACTGAAGCTGTGTACAGAGTGGTGCGTGCTAGGCGGACGGCGGGCGGGCGGCGGCGGGTGCCCTAGGTGGTGGGTCAGAGGCCTCATGGGTGTTGGTTTGGATTTCGTGGTTGGCCTGTCGGGGACGTCGTGAAGGCAATTTCGCAGCTTCTCAGTCGCCGTTTTGAATCCGTTGTGGGACCTCCTCGGGGCTGTTTTGTGGCCTCTTGAAGCCTTGTTTGGGTCTCCTGGGTGCCTCTCGGGGGCCTCCTGGGGCCTCTGGGGGGCTCCTTGGGGCCTCCTGGGGCACTCTTCAAGCGGGAGGGTCGAATTTTGGAATCGTGGTCCCCCTCTTGGGCGCATCTTGGGGCCGTCTTTGTGATATGGCAGATTGTCGATGGATCTTCTTACTCGCGGCCTCGCGAGGGGCGTAAGTCTGAGGCCAAGGGCCCTAGTTCGAAATTACTCACTTCGTGGAGCTCCCCATATGTGCATCTCATGTTTTATCTTATGCCGTAGTGAGCGTCTGTTCATAAGCGTTTGACTATAATAGCCCGTCCACGTTGGCGACAGGCCCGACGAAAATCTCCTCCACCTCCACCTTTTACTCTTACTCCTCCCCCTCCTCCACCTCTTACTCTTACTCCTCCTCCTCCTCCTCCTCCACCTCCTCCTCCTCCTCCTCCTCCTCCTCCTCCTCCTCCTCCTCCTCCTCCTCCTCCCCCTTTCCTCCATCCTCACAATCTGCTATGAAAACCAAGGATGTTGGGCATGACAACGAGGAAACAGCCTGAGACATCCCCACAAACTGGCCGCGAACGGGCCCGTGATATACCTCTCTGGCGGCTCCCCTTAGGGGTGCTGAAACCAGCCCGCCGCCTGAGACATCCTCACAATCTGCTATGAACACCAAGGATGTTGAGCATGAAAACGAGGAAACCGCCTGAGACATCCCCGCAAACTGGCCGCGAACGGGCCCGTGATATACCCCCTGGCGGTTCCCTTTAGGGGTGCTGAAACCAGCGCCCCGCCTGAGGCATCCTCACAATTTGCTATGAAAGCCAAGGATGTTGAACATGAGAACGAGGAAGCCGCTTGAAACATCCCCGCAAACTGGCCGCGAACGAGCCCGTGATATACCCCCTGGCGGCTCCCCTTAGGGGTGCTGAAACCAGCGCCCCGCCTGAGACATCCCCACAATCTGCTATGAAAACCAAGGATGTCGAGCACGAAAACGAGCAAAACGCCTGAGACATCCCCACAAACTTGCCGCGAACGAGCCCGTGATATACCCCCTGGCGGCTCCCCTTAGGGGTGCTGAAACCAGCGCCCCGCCTGAGGCATCCTCACAATCTGCTATGAAAACCAAGGATGTTGAGCATGAAGGCGAGGAAACCGCCTGAGACATCCCCGCGAACTGGCCGCGAACGGGCCCGTGATATACCTCTCTGGCGGCTCCCCTTAGGGGTGCTGAAACCAGCGCCCCGCCTGAGACATCCTCACAAGCTGCTATGAAAATAAAGGATGTTGAGCATGAAAACGAGGAA